CAATATATATATCTTATTAACCAAGCGCGAGGGCCGTACTGGGAGAATATCGGCCCGAGGTCTTGACAGTACGGACCGAGCGCAGCGAGGTCCGTACAAAAAAGACCGAGGGCCGATATTCTTCCAGTACGGTCCCGAGCAAGCTTGGTTAATAAGATATTTATTATACGACTGAAGTTCAAAGGGACGCAAGTGCGGTATCATTCGGGACCATTCGGGACAGTGCCCGGTCCAATACTTAGAGAATATTGGACCGGCAATAGAGCATTTTGATTGGTTGATTTTAGTTATTGGCCCTCTGACTGCCCGAGTCGTGTAATAAATATCGCTTATTACATTCCGATTTGCTAAAATACGACGGCGGGAAATTAAATTAAAATGTATGATTGGAAATCAACAAATTCAACTGCATTCAGGAAGCAACGACCTGAGTATCACTCCTTTGGATCTTCGACTTAAAGAATTCTAGCAAAAAGTGGACAGAATTTATTAAATTTGGAGTAAGATATTTTTTTATTTTCTCGAATCTCAAAAACGTTGACGTTGTTATGCTTCTCATTTTCCATGTGCTAAAAATAACTCAGCTGGGAAAAAAGATTCAATGCAACATACAAAATCAGCAAATACAAACATACAAATTTCAGAAGCCTGTGGCCTCAACTATGCATTCTTTCGAATCCCAACCCCAAAAAACCTGGCAAGTGATAAGTGATAGTACATTTTGTATGATTTTTTAAAACAAAGTTTTAGTTCCCGAATGGCAGCAAATTGAACTGTCACGTAAGCACTGTCACGCGCTAATATTGGTTCCAAATAGAGGCTTGAATTCGGGAATTTATCGCGATAATCCAATGTACGAGAATTTATACCTCTTCTATTGGCTATTTTCTAATAATAAATTGTTTAAAAAGTTTACAAACAAATCAGGCTGAGTAATTTTAAAAGTTTTCCCCTCCGACAGGCACTGAAATTTGAATAGTGCAATATGTCGAAAAGACTGAAAATGGCTTGGACGTTTGGTTTTCCCAACAAGTAAGTATTCACGGGCCGCCGGTAGATTTTTTATATGTTAGAGGCGAAAGGTCAAGAATGACTACTAATTATTTTAATTGGAAAAACGATGCGCACCAGCTGATATTTTTGCCCTTGGATTTAGGGTCAAATTTACGCAAAACGACCTTGTTTAAGAAAGAGTTGATGTATGGGCCTCTAAAACTTTTGGAAAAGCCGAAGTTAATATAAATTTACATTTTCTAGAAAGCGTAAATGGCATACTTTTACTTGATATAAAAGAGAGTCTTAATTTTTTTTCTTAACTTGCTTTGCGAGGCTGCTCAACATTCGCAAAATTTGCCTATTTTGGGGTTCGCGCCAAGCCCCATCTGGTCGAAATCGGACATTTCTCAATTTCTCGAAAAATAAAATTCGCTGAACCTTTTAAACTCTATTTTCGAAAATAGTTCTATATAGGGATTCTTTTTTGAAATAAAATTGAGGTCGATTTTTTTTAACTGTCGGGCGATGTTTGATATTTAGAGTACATAGATGTACTTGATGTTGAAACATCTGACGGCAGAGCAACTCGGTAGCTACACGTGCGAAGCAGGAAATGGTTATCACGTACACTGCAGAAGAAAATCAGTTGAAATTCGTCCGAAGGGTAGGCAACAAAGCAGGAAGGAGATATAATATAAATACTTGAGTAACACCGGCCGAGTGAAAAAATGAAACAGAGACGGACACAACTTCAGAAGCATTCCATCGTCTCATGTTTTCGAAATGAGATTTTCAGTTTGATAAACTGTCCGTTTCTTGGGTTTTATAGATGAACTTTTGACCCCAGATATTTTAATCGTTACATTCTCGAAATATTGCGAAATAGTAAAGCTATATAAAATTTAAGAAAAATAACTTATAGGAAAGTTTCGTTATTTTTAATAAAAGACCAAATAGAATTGTGCGTCTTTCATTTGTCTTGTTGGTCTCTGTGTCCGCCGGTGTCTTAGTCTTCTGATCTGTCTATAAAAAAAAAAAATAATGACCTTTCCTTACGTATAACAAGCTGTTGACGACGCCTCTTTCACTTGAACCATCCCTTAATCAGCCTTAAAGTCACGTTTCCTTCATGTGTTTTTGTTCTCATAGTATAAACTTTAGCTACTGTCTCACTTTCGTTCTTCAGAAACCCAAACCATTCAAATTATTGAAGATCCAAAGAACCAAAGTGCTCTTATCGGTTCCATTGTAACTTTCAACTGCACAGCCACTGGTAGTCTCAGGCCAACCATCTCTTGGCAAAAGAACGATGATCCATATGCTTTACAAACCGACCCAAGGGTAGAGGAGAAGGTTATTGTGTTAGACGACAAAACCGTTCGTAGTCAGCTCTTGTTGACAGGAACTGAACTGGAAGACAATGGTAAATATCACTGCGTGGCTAATAACAGCGCTGGAGAAAGGATCTCAAGAGTGTCTCTCTTAGGTTAGTTTGTTAGGTTAGAGGCATTCATCTTTTACTTTTGGAAATGATAACTGATTTTTTCAAAAGGTGCAGATAATTTATCTTAAAAGCTTTATATTTTTGTCTCGTCAAAAGAAAAGTTCATAAGGAAAGAGAA